GTGATTGTCGTCTCAAGACTCCTTGGACTTATGAACCATCATCATGGCTATAATCAGTGCAATTCCTATAGGAACCTGAGTGTATATTATCAGTTCATCTACAACAAACAACTAACCTGGGGCAGTTTACTTGAAGAATCCACAAGCAGCTATTCATCCTTTCTACAAGGATCATCTATTTAGTACAGCTTACCAGTGCAGAAGAGATGTGTTCAGCGGTAGCATCTTTAGTCCCCAAGTAGAATGAAAATGATCTCTGTGTTGAGGAATCAGTCTTCTAGTTTTGTCTTTTCACCAAATGGGTCGAGCCTTGTCGTTGGCGTCTGCATTTGCATTTGATCATATATCATCTGCATAATTCGTATACATATGTATAACGAGAGTGTTTCATCCTTATTTGCATTTCTCCCAAGGTTGTATCGTTAACAAACTCTTACCTTGTGGTCAAAGTCCAACTCACTTGGCACCTACCAAACAGATTTTGTCATGTCTATCCGATGTTCTCTCAGATATAACATTTCTTATCCGATTGTTTTTCCGGATATGTTTGTTCCTCTTACATCCAATACCATTCCCAGATAGTGTGTTTATACCTTTCATTCAAAGCCATTATTGGATGTCTGGTATCTTTTTTATCCAACTCCATTCTTGGATGTCATTTGTTTCTCTCTCTGATGATTTTCCAGATTGAGTCTTTGTTATGATGTTCTTCCAGAACTTATCTGATGTTTTTCTAGATATTCCCTTTGATTCTGATGTTTTTCCAGAATCTATCTGAGGTTTTTTCAGATTTGTTTCTCTCTCTGATGTTTTTCCAGATTGAGTCTTTGTTCTGATGTTTTTCCAGAACTTATCTGATGTTTTTCTAGATATTCCCTTTGATTCTGATGATTTTCCAGAATCTATCCAAGGTTTTTTCAGATTTCTTTCTCTCTCTGATGTTTTCCAGATTGAGTCTTTATTTTGATGTTCTTCTAGAACTTATATGATGGTTTTCCAGATATTCCCTTTGATTCTGATGTTTTTCCAGAATCTATCCGAGGTTTTTCCTGATTTGTTTCTCTCTCTGATGTTTTTCCAGATGTGTCTTTTGTTTTGATGTTTTTCCAGAGCTCTTTTTGTGTCTATCTGAGGCTTTTCCAGATATGACTTTTGTTCAGATGTTCTATTAGAACTCCTTTGTTGCTTATCTGACGTTCTTCCAGATATGTCTTAATCTGTGTACAAAAACCTTAAATGACAATCATTTTAAAACAAAGGGAGTATTATTATTATTCGACCATATAAACTTTAATAAAATAATTAATTTGAAAAAATCATTAAAAAATTAATTAATTTCGAAATCATTCAAAAAGAATTTTAAAAAAATTCACTTCACCTTTTCCATGATAAACAATGGGCCTACAAAATTTACAGCCCAATAAAAATCCTACGCTCGACATCTGTCGCTGCCATTCTCAGCTCCTATATCTTTCACCATTCTACAGATCCAATCACACACGTGTCACACGTTTTAAGCGTTAAATTTCTCATTTGAAATAAAGTCAAATCCTCATCGTCGAAATTGATCCTCATCTCGAGTTTCAAACTCGTGTGAGTAGGGGTGGATAGGAACCGTCCATCCGACCCGACCCAATTAAAACCGAGAAAAGTAATAATTTGGGCGGGTTAAATAAGTCCAACGGACCAAGCGGTTGGAAAACCCGGTTTTAAAGGGATTGGTCTGGGCGGGTCGGGTACCAAATACTGACCCACAAGTACCTTGACCCGCCCGAATAGAAGAACTAAATAGTGTCGTTTTAGGGATAATATTCAGCCAACACTCATTTCCCCTCATTCCAATTTCATTTCACGTTTCTCTCTCACAGTGTCTAACATAAAAACATGAAACCCTAACAGAGCCTTACCGCCCTCACGTCTTTTCACTAATCACCACAGTCCTTCATCCTCTTCTCATCAATTACCTTTGTTCCTCATCCTCTTCTCATTAATCACCACCGACCCATTTCACTTCTCTTCTTACTCATATTTGTGTGGTTTCTTATGAAGTTTGAAACGAAGGTTACATCTTTTTAAGCTAAAGGTTTGAACTTTTTCTTTGAATTAATTTGTTCTGTATGATTTTGTGGCTTGTGTTTTCTATTTATTTCTTACCAAAGTTGTGATCTTTTTGGTAATAGGAAGAGCTAATGTTTTAAAGAATTTTGGAAGTTTGAATCGAAGTCGACATCTTTGTATGTCTTAGGTTAGATATTAAATTTAAGTGACATTGCCTCACACATTTTAGAGACTAAAATGAATGCTTAGTGTTTGTTTACTCTTTTTTATTTATGAATGGAAAGTTGTGTAATTTTGACAATGATATTTTTGTTACTACTAGAGGGCTTAGAGTAAACCTTTGGTGGTAGGTCATGTTATTTTTATACATATACTGAGGAAGTCAGGCTTCATGTGTGTAATATGGTTTCATTGGGTTATTTTATGGTTTATGGCCTGATGGTATTGTCTCATGAGTCAAATTGGATTTAATGAATTGAATCTCATGTGTGCAATATAGGAAACTTTAATTGGTGAAAGGGTTAAATTGTATGAAAAGGTAAGAGTTTGATTCAAGTTTTAGTTTTTCTATTTAGGATATCTATTATTTCGTATTTTATTTATGTACGTTGCTTCATATTTGAGTCGTGTAATTTAAGAATCTTTTCTAATCTAAGACTTTTAACATTCTTTCTTTTGATTTCGACATATGCCATGTTTTCAGTAGGAGTAATTGCTCAATTTATTTTGAATATGTCTCCAAAGAATGTGGTCCCTTGCAAACAACCAAGTAGATTGTCTTATAATGAACTTGCTCTCATGTTTAATAATTGCATGTTATGGTTACTTTTAATTGATTTTATTAATGATTTTGCTAATGATTTTATTAATGATTTTGCTCTCATTTCTCAATATACATTTTATCCGATAGAAGTTTTCATTTTCAATTCATGAATAATTAGTTTTCATTTTAAAAAATGTTTTAAAACAGAAACAGGAACCACAAGCACCACAAAACAATGTTTATTGCTCTGAAATTGTTGTATCAAAAACATTTTGGAAAATCCTGTATATGTGAGCTTCTTCTCTATTTTCTTACTGTTGTTACCATTGTCTTTTGTTTGCTCAGATACTTGTAATTGGAGAGAAATTGGTAGTGTTAATTTTTTTTTCTTTGAATGATTATATCTTTTGTATGTTGCTCTAAAGTCAATTTGATAATAATTGAAATTATGAAATAAAGTTATAGTTTATGATACGTAACTTATTCTGCAGGTAAATGGTGCAAAAGGGTCTCTATGTTGGGTTATCAAGGCCTTAAATTTCAAGATTTTGTGTGTCGCAGCAGTTTAGGAGCTTGCGTTTCGTCATCTGATGTGAATAATTCGTCGTCACTACAAAATTTTGTCGCTATTGTTTGCTTGTTAGTGATCAACTCCACCATCAGTTCCGTTGAAGAAAATAATACCGGTAATATTATCCAGCCCTACGTGTGAGTATATAAAGAGATTCTAACTAAACAACGCAACATTCCATTGACCCCTTTCGCTTCTCTGACTCACCTCTCTGAAATGAGAGAGAGAGAGAGAGAGAGAGAGAGAGAGAGAGAGAGAGAGGGAGAGAGAGAGAGAGAGAGCATAGGTATGTGTTTTCTTCAATTCTTTTGTTCATTTTACTTTTCTTTATTGTGATTATGAACTTGAAGTTGTTTGAATTGTGGTTCGTTGAATTGAGTTCTTGTTTTATTGATTTTTTTAATTGATTTTTTTCAGTAATTGGTTATCGTTAAGTTTCATTTCTTGTTTTGATTTTATGTTTTTTGTGAAATTTTATTGAATTATGAAGTTGATTTTATTTTAATTTTGATGCTTAATTTTGGTTTACGTTTCTTTTTAACAGTTTTTGATGCAATTTTATAACAAGTGCCACAAATCTAGATTGAAAAATCACTTACATACATGTAATTCGTAGAGTCTATGTAGTACCCACACTTCTGAAAAAAGATGTGTCTGTGTCAGTGTCGTTGTCCTTCCTTTGTCTGGTGTCCGTTAGAGGTGGCAATTGAATCCATTAAGGCAAAATCCATCCAATCCATCCATCAAAAAATCCATCCAATCCATCCACCAGACAAAAAATAAGTTAATGGATTGGATTAAATCCATCCATTTATATGCATGAATGAATTCAATCCATCCAACATATTTTAAGGATCAAATGGATTATTTTTATTTTTGTTAGATTTATTTTTTTAAAAATAATTAAAAATTTATATTTTTTTTCGAAAAAAATGAATTTTTTTTCTGAAAAAAAAAATTTAAATTTTTTTCTAAAAAAAATCTGTTTTTTTTTTCAGAATAAAAAACTGATTTGTTTTTCGAAAAATAAAATAAAATTTTTTCTCGAAAAAAAAAACCGACTTTTTTTTTTTGAAAATACAAAAGATTCAGTTTTTTAATAAATATATTTATTAAAAAATAAAAAAAAATAAAAAAATTCAGTTTTTTCAATACAAAAAATAAAATCTTCAAAAATAAAATAAAAAAAAAAGTTGGATGGATGGATATCCATCCATTAAAAATGTGTTAATGGATGGATTGGATGGATTTTATTCTTAATGGATGGATTGGATTGGATAATTTTAAGAAAATTTTAGTGGATTGTTAATGGACTAATGGATTGTTTTAATCCATCCATTAACAATTCAATCCATATCCATCCAATCCATCCATTTTGCCACCCCTAGTGTCCGTGCTTCATATTCATAGCTCATACTCAATTTACTTTATTATTATATAAAATTTACTATCGTCATAATCACATTTTCGTCATTTTTATCTAAGAAATAGTATCTAGTGTAGGATATAACTTATTCATTGAAACTTTCTCAAAGCTAATTTTCCACATGATTTTATTTTGAAGCAGATTATGAATCTTCATTATCATCTCTATCCTTAATCATTACCATGGTTCTGAAGTTTCTTCAAGCCACTTCCATGCAATCAATATATTGTGTTGTTGTTCTTGTCTGTGACCCCTCTTGCATATGTCGTCCACGAACTTTCATTTCTTCTTTAGCAACTTGTCACCCTGGAGACAAAGCTAGCAACTTTTGGCGTAAAGAACAATCTCAAGATCTTTCGAGATATGTAGACATTCTTACTGCAAAAATTGGCAAAGGAAGCAGCAAGGAAGACATTCTCCTGTCTCTAATCAGTGATGAAGTTGTAAATGGTATTCCTCCGTCTCTAAATCTTGTTAATAGATTATTATATCGGTATAAGGATGATTGGAAGTCTGCATTGGGGATATTCAAATGGGCTAGTTCGCATGCACACTTTAAACATTCTCAAGAATCATATGATATGATGATTGATATATTGGGTAGAACGAAGGTAATGGGAAAGATGAGAGAGATCTTAGAAGAGATGCGTCAAGAGAGTCTCGTCACCCTCAATACTATAGCCAAAGTAATGAGAAGATTTGTTAGGGAAAAACAGTGGAAAGATGCTGTGAGGATATTTGATGACTTACAGTTTCTCGGCTTGGAGAAGAATACAGAATCCATGAATGTGTTGCTTGATACTCTCTACAAAGAGAAATTTGTTGAGCAAGCTCGTGAAATTTACTTGGAACTGAAGCGTCACATTGCTCCAAACGCTCACACGTTTAACATATTGATTCATGGATGGTGAAAAATCTGACGTGTTGAGGAGGCACTTTGGACAATCTAAGAAATGAAAGGTTACGATTGTCGCCCTTGTGTTATAAGTTATTCCACCATTATCCAATGTTATTGTCAAGACCAGAAATTTGACCGGGTCTATGAACTTGATGAAATGCAAGATCGAAATTGCTCTCCTAATGTGGTCACTTATACTACTATCATGTGTGCAATGGCAAAAGCAGAAAAAATCGATGAAGCTTTGCAAGTAGTTGATAGAATGAGCTATACTGGATGTAGGCCTGATACTCTTTTTTACAATTCGTTCATCTATACATTGGGGAGAGGAGGCATAATAGATGATGTTATGCATGTATTCAAAGTTGTGATGCCGAAGGCCAGTGTGATGCCAAATACATCCACCTATAATTCATTGATTTCTATGTTCTGTTACTATGCACAAGAGGATAGAGCTTTTGGCATTCTGAAGGAGATGGAAGAGTCCGGCTTATGTAAGCCTGATATTCAGACTTATCATCCATTGATCAAGTCATGCTTTAAAATGAGGCAAATAGATAGTTTACTGAATGATATATTAAATGACATGATAAATAAATATCATATTAGTATTGACCTTTCAACCTATACACTTCTAATTCATAGGCTTTGTAGAGCAGATAGATGCAAGTGGGAGCTTGATCTGTTTGAGAGGATGATCGATCAAGATATCGTACCTATGTACAGAACTTGCCGTTTGCTCTTGGATGAAGTCAAACAGAAAAATATGTATCAAGCTGTTGAAAAATTTGAGATTCTTATGAAGAAACTTTAAATGCACATCTCTTTGATAGATATTAGTTCTGAATGTAATAGAAAGCTCAATTGAGAGTATTCAAAATACTTGGTTATCTCCAACCAAATCCTATCAAACACCATGAATAACCCTCTCTCTCTTTATATTATTCATTTTCTTTCATCTCTCAATCCCTTCTTGTTTAGTTGGAGGGGACAAAGAAGAAAGTGGGAGAAGAGAAATAAAGAGAGGTAAGAAGGAAAGAATTGAGAAAGAGAGTGAGTTTCTTGCAATTTTTTATGCCAGAAAAATCAAAGAAAGAGAAGAGAAATCACTCTTGAGTGGGTAGAAGAACAAACATAGAGAAATTATGTTATTTTTTGAAGGGTAAATTGCCCCTAAAACTAAGAAGCTTGATCAGAAGACTCAAACCCGAAGTTGGTTAGGTTCGATATGTTGACTGATGAAGGGGAAAGGTTACAACTGAAGTTCAGAAATAATGTAATTGTAATCAGTTTCATTATTTGTCATTACAATGCAGTGTCAATGTTGTTCGAGACTATTCTTGCAGAGAGATTGTATAACCTATTTATGAGGTGTCTGTGATATGGATTCTTGAACAAAGAACAAATGATGAGTTTCAAGTTCCTTCAAAGAAACAGGTTCAGTGAGTGTTGAATCATTGTTATTCTCTCTAGTCACTACAGAGTACAGGCATTACAATATCAACTTACAGATTTTTATCAAATAACATTGAAATTGATAAGATTTTTTTATGCTCTCTTTGTAATACACCGTAAATGATACTCTTTGGGGTTAGAATTTTACTCAATTCATCTTGGTCAATTTTCCATGTACCTCGTCTCTCACAAAGCAATAAGACTTATTTTTCCGTGTACCTAGAGTGAAACATAATTTTTATTAGACCCTACAACAAAATAGTTTATGGTTTGATTAGCCAAAGGAGTTATGAAAGGGTCATTAGAAGGGAGAATTTCGTACCCACCTCTTGAGTTTTTTACGGATCATGTGTGCTTCTAAATATACCTCCTGCTTATAGAGACGTATATCCGGACGCACATTTTTTTTACTCAACGTTGGTTTTTTTCGGAGCTACATCTATAGAATATTTCTGTTTATATAGTTCCGAAACAAATCAGAATACATTTGTGCTAGAGTTTCTTCTCCTCCCTCATTTTTCATTTTTCAACTTCTTCACTCACAAACTCTCCAAACTCTCTCAATCCTCAAAAGAACTTTTTCCACCAAACTTAATTATTTTCAATCAAGTTATACAAGGAGCATTCATATCAACGATCAAGATACTCCAAATCATTCAAAGTTCGATATAATTGAGTTTTTGAGGAAACGAGTTAGAATATAGTTTTAGGGGTAGAAATCGTTAGATAGTTTTAGAAACATAGTTTAGAGACAATGTAGGTATTATTTGTTGGACGAAACGGACGATCAGGACTTCAAAAAAATCAATTTTCATGGGTAGGGGACACCATTGTTGTGGGTGTTGGAGTTGCAGGAAGTTCAGGAGCTACATATGCGGAACAAATTAATGTTAGGGCAATTCTGTTGATTCTGAATTCTGCCTTCTTCCATAGATACATATACGGAAGTTTTTCGTATGTTCACATTCGGAAGTAAAAAAATGTTAATAATTTTTTTCTTTTTTGTTTTTTAATTTATTTGTATCTAATTGTTTTTTCTTGGTTAACCTTGCAGACATTATGGCAGACAGAGAAGATAGATTGCGACTTGGACAAATTTCACAACATGCAATATCATTGTTAAATAAAATTACCTAGCAAGTTTAAACGATTAATAAGATGTGAGAACTGCTTTTGCATTTGAGTAATGGTTTCACCATACTTCATGCGAAAGAGTTCGAATTCTTGATTAAGTATATTAATTCGGGCTTGTTTGACCTCATTAGTTATCTCATGGGAAACTTGTAGAGCATCCCACATAGCCTTAGCGATTGCACAATGAGAAACACGATAAAACTCATCGACACCGAGAGCGGATATCAAAATGGTTTTCGCTTTCCAAGTGTGACCACTTCTTATTATCTTCGTCATCCCATAGTGCTTTGGACTTAGGTAAGTAACACCTTCCACAACATGTGTGATTGGTGTAGGTTTATTTTAAATGACCTCCCAAACAACTTTATCATAAGAGTTCATGTGAATTTTCATACAAGCTTTCCAATAACCATAGTTTTCTCCCTTAAAGATTGTAACTCTTTTATAATCCCCTTTAGGTTCGTGAGCCATTTTCTAATAAGCGTTTAGAAGTACATAATGAATCGAGCTCTTGATGCCACTTGTTAGACGACGACGACTTGTCTAGAGGGGGGTGAATAGACACACAAGCCAAAATCACCAAATAAATTTTGGGTTTTAAAGTTATTTGAAAAAGAGTGCACGTGAAAGGTTTTGGTGTGGATCGACAAAAGCCGTCTACAAGAACCTAGTTATTGGAACTTGGATATGAAAAGCCGATTATAAAATGACAAACACAATAAACGAATTTAACCTTTAATTGAGTATCACGTTATTACTCATTTAAACTAATTACTTAGTAATGCTATACCTAATGATAATAAGCAGAAAATATTGAACTGAGCAATTTATCAAAGACTTGGTGTGCGTACGAATTTTCAGAATTTCCTTTGCGTTGTTGTTGATATGAAAGCTACTTATAATCAAAAGTGGTTATAAGCTAATCAACAACCAAGTTAGAATAGAAAGATCACAGGAAAATTCTTACGAGTCGATCGATTAATCAATATTATTTGCCAAATTGTGTAATGAAAAATAAAGCGAGTAAAGAGATAATAGAGAGATCGACACGAGGATTTGTTCATGCAGTTCCCCACTTTCGTTCTCGCATGTGGGTATGTCTGCACCTAATTTCCAATGTGGAATTAGGATACTTTCTTACTATGCAAAAAGTCGATATACAAGAAAAGTGTTCAGAGCAACCATACAAACACAATCGGTTCTGATGTTGATTCAACCCTTTTTCTTCTTTTGATCTTGAGTAAGACCTAGGCAACAATGGATGCCAATTGACTTGTCGAATTGCTACGCTTTTGCGTTCTTTATCTCTAAAGCTTTCGCACACGATTAATTACACTGATTGTTTCACAAGACTTCAATTTAGTTCGTCGTTCTCCGCTACTTCCTTTGCATTCTTTATCTCCAAAGGGTCCTTTGTGTACTTTATCTCTAAAGGCTTTCACAACGTCGCAATCATCTCTTGAAGATTTTGCACGAAAACCCCCAAATCTTCACTCGATCTTGGAGGACAAACCCATGGTTTTTTCAGATGAAGACCCCTGCAAATCTCAACCCAATATCTCGGCTACAGAAGAACCTAATTGGACGTTATCAGTCCTTCACCTAGCTGGCACCCCAACAAAAGATTATTATGCGTGATTTGCTAGTGCGTAGACATAGGATGGAGGTTGAAGATGATGAGAAAATGCAGGCTAATTTTATGGTATCACTAGTTTGGAATCAAGAATGAATGATGTATTTATAGTTTTTGAAGATTGGTGGCAAAGAGGTAATATTCGGAGTAAAAAAACCAGAACTTGCCAACTTAAACAACATGTGTCGGCCTGAACTTTGGATGTGCCAACACATACTGTCAAAAGTAACAGCACGTGTCGACCTGAAATGACATATGTGTCGACCAAACTGAAGCAGAACCTACAACCTTATTTAGGACAGTAGATGTTCCAGCCTTAAACATGTATGTGTCAACACATAATGGTGAAACTATCAGTATGTGCCGACCTGCAGAAGGTATGTGTCGACCAAAACAAAACAAAAGCTATAGGTTTTAATATTGAGTTACATGTGTCGACCTGAAATGCGTATGTGCCGACACATGTAATACATTTTTGTGGAAAAAAAACATAAGCTACAAGCTTTAATATTAAGCTACATGTGTCGACACATGTAATGCATTTTTGTGCAGAAGTCTGTTTTTCATGTGTTTGGGCAAGTTCAAGGTGGTTTTTGATGATTCCTAAGACCTCTAATGCAAGGAAACCACACATGCTCAGAGCAACTATCCAATATACCAAAATACAAAGTAGTTTCAATGTTTTGACATCACACAAAACACCTCATGATGAAGTTGCACTCACAGGGGTGAGATTGGTGAACTTGAACGATCAGTCGGGTGTAGAGCTGTCGGAGTAGGAGACATTTGGGACATACCATCAGATGTTTATTTGTGACATTTGAGACATATTGAGTTTGTGTGAATTAGAACACAAGAACACCTAAATTTATAGAAGACCTAACTCAATATGGACCACTCATTAACTGTCATGTTACCCACATCTCTTTGAAGAATCTTCTCCAACAAGTAGACATTCATGCTGTTTCCCCTGAGTCTGCCACCATTATTCTAGAACTTGGCACTATGATTGACCAAGTTTATGGTGATCTCAACTGCCTGCCTCAAATTGAAAAATCCATTTCGACTAAAATCGGAAGTGAGGCTGCCGCTTGGGCTTCTGCCACTAAATCTGAATACAGAGTAGCAGAATTGGAGGAAACCAAATAAAATAACAAGCAGGAGATTGCCTTTAATGAAAAAAAAACATTGCTTACTAGGAGAGAAAGATCAAGAAGCTTCGAACCAAAATCTCGAAGGCCAAAAAATGTAATGCTGAGTTATCTGTCTTCGATGATTCTGGCCTCTCGAAAGAGCTTGGTAGTGTCATAACATCTGCTGAGGAAGCTCAACAACTAGAGAAAGAAGTTTCCCGTCTGAGGTCCGACAAAACCTTATGTGAAAGGCACCTCAAACTTCATAAGTCGAAATATTTGAAGATGAAAGAGAATCTCCCATTTTAGCTTGTTAATTTCTTTGTAATGTTTACTTTTGACCGTCATGTGCCATAGTCTTTCAGACTTTATTATGTAATGATTTGAAGCCATTTTGGCATTTATGAATACCATTTTTGGCTCTGCCTTATACATTGAATTATTCTCTAGAGATTTTAA